CCATATACAACATCAAAGAGCTACAAACAGCAACAGTGGAGCTCCCAGTTAAAACGTAGATGAACTGGACTCGTGTTCATAATTAAAATCCATTTGAAGTTCCAGGTTTTGCTTAGTTTTGAAATCTCTCTATTGAACAATTTATCTGTTGACTCTTGTATAGAGTTTGGGTATTTTGTTATTGATTTTTTATATCACAGATGTCACTTCATATTATATACAACAGATATACCACTTATACACCAACTTTAAATCTCTACTTTAATGATTTAATTTTAGATTGTGGAGAAGAACTCTGATTGGACAAGGCAAACATCACTCATCTAAAGTAAAGTCAGATTCACGAGAAATCAACATATCTATCTAAATGTTACATTTAGGAACTGAATTTAAATTTATAAAAGCCATTATTTTATTTTTATTTTAGTAGTATTTTACAATTTTTTTCAGTAACTTTTTTATTGTCAGTTTTATTTCGTTTTAGTACTGTTTATTAGTTTTACTTTTTAAAATGTTGCTTTATTTTCATTTTAAGCTTTAGTCATTTTAGTACTTTAGTCAATTCAGAACTTAAATGAAAATGAGAAATGAGAAATTAATTAGAAATTCTAATTTAAATAAAATGTTTATTTTTTTTAAAAGGGTTTTCCTCTAATATTTATCATTTATTTCAATTAACAAAAATATTTGTAATATTTTTTTAGAATGGATGGGCCCCCGAAATGAATGTGTTTCCCATGAAGAGTGTGAAATTTCTGTGAAAATGTAATTCTGTAGCACAAACAAGGAAGTGGAGCTGATGTTTTGAATATTGCAAACTTAAGTTATAAGAAGCTGTTCATCAGTACAAAAATGACACAAAACGTTATTAGCCACAGACCTTTCATGCATGCAAAGTTTGATTAGATAAAATTTGTAGCCTTTCAAAGTAAAAACAAAAAAATAGGCCAGATGAAAAGCTGTAATAATATTTGAATAAATATTTCAGAGTATTTCCTCTAGTAGAGGAAGTGCCTGTATGCAGGTTCAGTGCCGTCCACCTGTTGACTGACACGGTGAACAAGCTGCTGTTTAGAGAAACTGGGTCAGGAACTCTGCCTGGAATGGGAAGCACATCGTACCTTAAGCGATTCTTTCCTTGCCAGCTTCTCCGTGGGCGAGGAAGACTCCTTCTCCAAACCGATAAACATCCTGGATTCCGACTGAAGCCAAAAAAGAAAAATCCCAGAAAAATCCATTTAACTTTCATTTGAAGTCAACATGAGATCAAAACTAACCCTGTTTGCTTTCTTCATACAGGATCTTGAACTAAATATGATGTGACTTGATGATATTTGACATATTTTTCTCAATGAATATCCTGTTTCAAGAACATATCACGGAAATCAAATGGGTTGAGCGTGGCATTTCATGTTGACTTTAGAAAGTCTTAACGTAATAATTATGTGCACTTAGTTAAGTAAGTATATTAATATAGCAATTGTAAAGTAAACAAAGCTACTTCCAGCCACAACTCTTTCACACTAAGAGATAAAGTCAGCAGGCTAAATGCAGCAGGTCTGTTTGGTCAGCTGTCGGTGTCAGTTGAAGATCAGACCAAAATATGGAGAAGACGGCTTTCCTCTTAGACCCAAATTAGCCTCTAAACAAAATCATACAAACAGCGGTGTCTATAAAAACAACAGTAATGTTATTTTGCAACAAATAATCAATAAAATCAATAATTAAGATCATCAACTGTAAATTTCATATAAAACATATAAAATAATTTTTATAATAACAATAACATTGAGCATTTATCTACTTAATAAATGATTTTTAAAAACACTTTATACTGTATTTTTATTATAAATAAATACATTCATAAATGTGTTATTATTATAAGAGGAAGCTTTTTACAAGCCATCAAACAAACCTCAAAACTGAACTACAACATTAGTATTGTGTTGTTTAAAGATTTTGTTTTCATTGTAATATCCAAGGTCTGAAAACAATTTTTCAAATGAAAACATTTCAGTTTCAACATTTGAAGCCACGTTTCCGCAAATAAATGCATTATATGAATATAGGCCTAATTTGTATTTGGATCTATGGAAAAAAAATGTCAGTAGTTTATAAAATAAAACAATACGTAAATGTAATATACATATAAATATACGTATACTTTCACAAAGGTCTAGTGAATCCTTTAATCTCTCATTTAGAAGCATTCAGAAACAAAAAACACTAGTGAAAGTTTAACTAGTAAGTGGGCTGAAGTAACGGATGTGTTATGGAAAAGCTCTTCAACCACAAGTACAGGCTTTTTTCTTTCCCATCTGCATTATGATGCCATCATATTTCATGCTCGTAGTCAACAGGAAGCTGAACGCACCGCGCTGCTGGGCGAGCGGACCGGACTGACCTCGTCCCTCAGTAAGGGCAAACCGTTCCTCTCCGATTCATTACCTGCAGAACACACACACACACCCACACCAACACACAAACACAGCATTAACATCAATCACTACAGTCAAAAACATTTTTGCTAATTATTAAAAAACAAACAAAACAACAACAGCATATCAAAACATAGTCGGCTCTGAAGTTGAAAGAATTTTTTTTTTCACATTTTTATTTCTTAATAAATGTCCTTTATTGTGCATAATTTATTTCGATCAGATTTGTTTGTAGCACAATGCTGTGTGGTTGCTAGCGTGTTCTAGGTGGTTACTAGGGTGTTGCTATGCAACTAAGATGTTCTTAGTCATCGATATGCAATGTTCGTGTCTTCTAGGTGGTTGCCAGGGCACTGCTATGTGGTTGCTAAGTTATTCTGCAAGGGTTATAGCATGTTTTTATGCAGTTGTTTAAATGTTCTAGGTGGTTGCCAGGGCATTGCTATCTGGTTGTTAAGGTGTTCTGACAGATTTATAGCATGTTTCTATGCAGTTCCTCGAGTGTTCTACACGGTTGGCAGGATGTTGCTATGTGGTTGTTAAGGTGTTCTGAGAGATTTAGAATACATTTCTATGCAGTTTCTTGAGTCTTCTAAGTGGTTGCCAGGGCGTTGCTATGCGGTTGCTAAGGTGTTCTGAGACACTTTTAACATGTTTCTATGCAGTTCCTTAAGAGTTTTAGGTGGTTGCCAGGGTGTTGCTATGTGGTTGCTAAGGTGTTCTGAGACACTTTCAGCATTTTTCTATGCAGTTCCTCGAGTGTTCTAGGTGGTTGCGAGGGTGTTGCTGTGTGGTTGCTTAGGTGTTTCTGGTGTTATGAAATTCCTAAAGTGTTAATTGCAGTTGCTAGGGTGTTCTGTGTGGCTGCCAGGGCATTGCTACATGGCTTGGGTGTTTTTAATGTTTGTTAGTGCATTTCTATCAGGTGTTTTAGGTGGTTTCCAGGGCATTGCTATGTGGTTGCTAAGGTGTTCTGAGAGGTTTGTAGCCAGTTGCTATGCAGTTCCTAGGGTTTTTAGTTGGTTGCTAATGCATTCTGGGTGATTGCCAAGCAAGTGCGAATGACCGTAGTGATTCAGAAGCAGTAAGCTCTTGCATGTGTCTCTTGTAGGGATGGGCGATATCTTATCGTTTGCGATATACCGGTAAAAATTCTCCACACGATAAGAATTCATCTTCCCGCGATAATAACGATAAAGTCTAGTTGTTGACATATTTCTGTGTGCGACTGTGTGGAATGACGTGAAGGAAGGCGGACGTGAAATTGAGCAGCTCCTTCTACAATCTGGAACAGGTTTGGATAGGGCTGTACAGAGACAACAATCGTAAAATGAGTAAATGTACTACAGTAGCACATGTGCGACACAGTTTTACATGTGTATGAGTCGTTTACAAACCTGTTGTCCAACAAAGATATTTTAATTTATTGACATGCTTTTTCTCCATATTAACTTCATAACATAGTCGAGTGTTTGAAATAACTTATTTTTGTGATCAGACGTGGTTTTGTATCACAGAATAAGGCAGAAATCATACTATTTAATAGCATTATATACAGTGATAAAGGCTATGTCGATTAGCATTGCATTATAAATATACTTTATCCTTATAAAAAAATACCCAAGATTGCTTGAAGAACACAGATACCATATATTTTGTGCAATCGCATGTTTATTGTCTTCAGGTTTCCTGAGTTAAAATGTCTCTATCTGCGTTTTATTCAGCTACAGCTACCCGTCGATGGCGATCGACTGGTAGATCTTTATCACTGTCAGTAGATCCCGAAAATAACAGTAAAATAAGTACAAAAATGCATTACATTTATGGGGTTATATTAATGTATCACTGAAAAAATAAAAAAGGAAAATAGCAAAAATTTGGCCAAAAAAGTTTGAGAATATTTCACATTTATTCTGTGAATATTCTATTGATTTTGTGTCAGTTTAGTCCTAAAGTAGTTTAAGCAAATAGTTTTGGTGCCAGAAATATTTTGAAATTATTTCATGTGTTCAACTCATTTAGGCACATCTTACCTGATAGTTTTAGTGCCAAAAGTGTGAATATTTCATATCTTTCAGCAATAATTGGTCATTTTATTTGGAGGATGCATAATTTTTTTAAAATGCTTATTTTTTAGAGTATATAAATTTGGCCAATAATTGTTTGAGAATATTTCAAGCTTTAGTCATATCGTAGTTTACGCAAATATTTTGGTACCAAAAACTATTCTCCAAAACTCAAAATAATTCATATCTTCTTTTTTTTTGTAATTTAGTTGCAATGAATCTGATGTGAACAGTTTTGTGCCAAAAAATATCCTGTGACACACCGACAGCAGTGTTGATGTAGAGCAGGGGTCCTCAACTCTGGACCTCGAGATCCATTTTCCTACAGAAATGAGCTCCAACCTGGATTAAACACACCTACATGCAATTCTGTAGTAATCCTGAAGACCTTGATTAGCTTGTTCAGGTGTGTTTGATAAGGGTTGGAGCTGAACGCTGCAGGAAAGTGGATCACGAGGTCCAAAGTTGAGGACCCCTGATGTAGGAGAGATCAAACTCACTGCAGCAGGTCCTGGTCGGTGAGAGCCGAGCTCTGCAGCAGCTGCAGTATGTGTGAGGACTCAGAGGAGCTGCTCAGATCTCCATCCCTGCCGCTCTTCGCCATCATCTTAGACAGGCTGGAGCAGCTGAGAGCCAGTTCCAGAGCGTCCATCCAACAGCGTCCTGGAATAAACCACAGGTTGTGATCCTCAAATGGACTCCATATTGAGAAGACAGTTTCACAGAAGACAAACACCAATGCTCACCATCAGATTCGGACGCTGCTCTGAAGATCAGGTAATTACTAGGTAAGGGTTGTGTGATGGAGCCCACAGATTCTCCTTTTGGGCCCTGAAAAAACACATACCCATCAGTCCCAACAATGAGGTCAAGCAAACATCGCATTTTAGAGATGCTGTTGTCTAACCTTCATGGCCCATATGGACTTGTCCAGCGGATGGTAGAGTTTGAAGCAGAATCCGTCCTTCTTTGATGGCCTTTCGATGAGTTTGCAGGCATTGAGAAGAATCGTTCCCACCCAGTGATCTGAACCGGTCGTCTTGTATATCAGGAGAATGCCGGGCTTCAGGATGCACCACAATTTCGTCCAACTCTTCAACGACCCCCGAATCTGATGCATCCAAGAATCACATTTTAAAGCTACTGAGAAATTATTCAAATGATTAAAATGAAAACCAATGAGGTTTACCGACCTTTAGCCAGTTGGACATAATAACCACACTTGGATCCTTAAGTGCACTGAAAAGCTCTTTGGCAACCCTCCTCTTTTCCTGTCGATAGTTCTTCTTCTGAACCTACGATATGAAAGGTCAAGGTTTAATGCATTGCTCAGACATCAGCTAGGGGGTGCAAGTGGGCAGCACGACATGTAAAATGTCTATAAACCTTGTTGAACACTAGAGTGCTCCATATACAACATCAAAGAGCTACAAACAGCAACAGTGGAGCTCCCAGTTAAAACGTAGATGAACTGGACTCGTGTTCATAATTAAAATCCATTTGAAGTTCCAGGTTTTGCTTAGTTTTGAAATCTCTCTATTGAACAATTTATCTGTTGACTCTTGTATAGAGTTTGGGTATTTTGTTATTGATTTTTTATATCACAGATGTCACTTCATATTATATACAACAGATATACCACTTATACACCAACTTTAAATCTCTACTTTAATGATTTAATTTTAGATTGTGGAGAAGAACTCTGATTGGACAAGGCAAACATCACTCATCTAAAGTAAAGTCAGATTCACGAGAAATCAACATATCTATCTAAATGTTACATTTAGGAACTGAATTTAAATTTATAAAAGCCATTATTTTATTTTTATTTTAGTAGTATTTTACAATTTTTTTCAGTAACTTTTTTATTGTCAGTTTTATTTCGTTTTAGTACTGTTTATTAGTTTTACTTTTTAAAATGTTGCTTTATTTTCATTTTAAGCTTTAGTCATTTTAGTACTTTAGTCAATTCAGAACTTAAATGAAAATGAGAAATGAGAAATTAATTAGAAATTCTAATTTAAATAAAATGTTTATTTTTTTTAAAAGGGTTTTCCTCTAATATTTATCATTTATTTCAATTAACAAAAATATTTGTAATATTTTTTTAGAATGGATGGGCCCCCGAAATGAATGTGTTTCCCATGAAGAGTGTGAAATTTCTGTGAAAATGTAATTCTGTAGCACAAACAAGGAAGTGGAGCTGATGTTTTGAATATTGCAAACTTAAGTTATAAGAAGCTGTTCATCAGTACAAAAATGACACAAAACGTTATTAGCCACAGACCTTTCATGCATGCAAAGTTTGATTAGATAAAATTTGTAGCCTTTCAAAGTAAAAACAAAAAAATAGGCCAGATGAAAAGCTGTAATAATATTTGAATAAATATTTCAGAGTATTTCCTCTAGTAGAGGAAGTGCCTGTATGCAGGTTCAGTGCCGTCCACCTGTTGACTGACACCACGAACAAGCTGCTGTTTGGAGAACTGGGTCAGGAACTCTGCCTGGAGTGGGAAGCACATTGTACCTTAAGCGATTCTTTCCTTGCCAGCTTCTCCGTGGGCGAGGAAGACTCTTTCTCCAAACCGATAAACATCCTGGATTCCGACTGAAGCAAAAAAAAAAAAAAAGAGAATGCAAAACAGAAAATCCCAGAAAAATCCATTTAACTTTCATTTGAAGTCAACATGAGATCAAAACTAACCCTGTTTGCTTTCTTCATACAGGATCTTGAACTAAATATGATGTGACTTGATGATATTTGACATATTTTTCTCAATGAATATCCTGTTTCAAGAACATATCACGGAAATCAAATGGGTTGAGCGTGGCATTTCATGTTGACTTTAGAAAGTCTTAACGTAATAATTATGTGCACTTAGTTAAGTAAGTATATTAATATAGCAATTGTAAAGTAAACAAAGCTACTTCCAGCCACAACTCTTTCACACTAAGAGATAAAGTCAGCAGGCTAAATGCAGCAGGTCTGTTTGGTCAGCTGTCGGTGTCAGTTGAAGATCAGACCAAAATATGGAGAAGACGGCTTTCCTCTTAGACCCAAATTAGCCTCTAAACAAAATCATACAAACAGCGGTGTCTATAAAAACAACAGTAATGTTATTTTGCAACAAATAATCAATAAAATCAATAATTAAGATCATCAACTGTAAATTTCATATAAAACATATAAAATAATTTTTATAATAACAATAACATTGAGCATTTATCTACTTAATAAATGATTTTTAAAAACACTTTATACTGTATTTTTATTATAAATAAATACATTCATAAATGTGTTATTATTATAAGAGGAAGCTTTTTACAAGCCATCAAACAAACCTCAAAACTGAACTACAACATTAGTATTGTGTTGTTTAAAGATTTTGTTTTCATTGTAATATCCAAGGTCTGAAAACAATTTTTCAAATGAAAACATTTCAGTTTCAACATTTGAAGCCACGTTTCCGCAAATAAATGCATTATATGAATATAGGCCTAATTTGTATTTGGATCTATGGAAAAAAAATGTCAGTAGTTTATAAAATAAAACAATACGTAAATGTAATATACATATAAATATACGTATACTTTCACAAAGGTCTAGTGAATCCTTTAATCTCTCATTTAGAAGCATTCAGAAACAAAAAACACTAGTGAAAGTTTAACTAGTAAGTGGGCTGAAGTAACGGATGTGTTATGGAAAAGCTCTTCAACCACAAGTACAGGCTTTTTTCTTTCCCATCTGCATTATGATGCCATCATATTTCATGCTCGTAGTCAACAGGAAGCTGAACGCACCGCGCTGCTGGGCGAGCGGACCGGACTGACCTCGTCCCTCAGTAAGGGCAAACCGTTCCTCTCCGATTCATTACCTGCAGAACACACACACACACCCACACCAACACACAAACACAGCATTAACATCAATCACTACAGTCAAAAACATTTTTGCTAATTATTAAAAAACAAACAAAACAACAACAGCATATCAAAACATAGTCGGCTCTGAAGTTGAAAGAATTTTTTTTTTCACATTTTTATTTCTTAATAAATGTCCTTTATTGTGCATAATTTATTTCGATCAGATTTGTTTGTAGCACAATGCTGTGTGGTTGCTAGCGTGTTCTAGGTGGTTACTAGGGTGTTGCTATGCAACTAAGATGTTCTTAGTCATCGATATGCAATGTTCGTGTCTTCTAGGTGGTTGCCAGGGCACTGCTATGTGGTTGCTAAGTTATTCTGCAAGGGTTATAGCATGTTTTTATGCAGTTGTTTAAATGTTCTAGGTGGTTGCCAGGGCATTGCTATCTGGTTGTTAAGGTGTTCTGACAGATTTATAGCATGTTTCTATGCAGTTCCTCGAGTGTTCTACACGGTTGGCAGGATGTTGCTATGTGGTTGTTAAGGTGTTCTGAGAGATTTAGAATACATTTCTATGCAGTTTCTTGAGTCTTCTAAGTGGTTGCCAGGGCGTTGCTATGCGGTTGCTAAGGTGTTCTGAGACACTTTTAACATGTTTCTATGCAGTTCCTTAAGAGTTTTAGGTGGTTGCCAGGGTGTTGCTATGTGGTTGCTAAGGTGTTCTGAGACACTTTCAGCATTTTTCTATGCAGTTCCTCGAGTGTTCTAGGTGGTTGCGAGGGTGTTGCTGTGTGGTTGCTTAGGTGTTTCTGGTGTTATGAAATTCCTAAAGTGTTAATTGCAGTTGCTAGGGTGTTCTGTGTGGCTGCCAGGGCATTGCTACATGGCTTGGGTGTTTTTAATGTTTGTTAGTGCATTTCTATCAGGTGTTTTAGGTGGTTTCCAGGGCATTGCTATGTGGTTGCTAAGGTGTTCTGAGAGGTTTGTAGCCAGTTGCTATGCAGTTCCTAGGGGGTTGCTAATGTTGCTAATGCATTCTGGGTGATTGCCAAGCAAGTGCGAATGACCGTAGTGATTCAGAAGCTTGCATGTGTTGCATGTGTCTCTTGTAGGGATGGGCGATATCTTATCGTTTGCGATATACCGGTAAAAATTCTCCACACGATAAGAATTCATCTTCCCGCGATAATAACGATAAAGTCTAGTTGTTGACATATTTCTGTGTGCGACTGTGTGGAATGACGTGAAGGAAGGCGGACGTGAAATTGAGCAGCTCCTTTGAGTAAATGTACTACAGTGTGCGACATGCGACACAGTTTTACATGTGTATGAGTCGTTTACAAACCTGTTGTCCAACAAAGATATTATTGACATGCCCATATTAACTTCATAACAGTCGAGTGTTTTAAATATCTTATTTTTGTGATCAGACGTGGTTTTGTATCACAGAATAAGGCAGAAATCATACTATTTTATAGCATTATATACAGTGGTAAAGGCTATGTCGATTAGCATTGTATTATAAAAATATACTTTATCCTTATACAAATACCCAAGATTGCTTGAAGAACACAGATACCATATATTTTGTGCAATCGCATGTTTATTGTCTTCAGGTTTCCTGAGTTAAAATGTCTCTATCTGCGTTTTATTCAGCTACAGCTACCCGTCGATGGCGATCGACTGGTAGATCTTTATCACTGTCAGTAGATCCCGAAAATAACAGTAAAATAAGTACAAAAAACATGTTTGTTTTATGTAGCAAATAAATAAATAACACCTAAAGTCAGACCATTCTGTTTTTGTTTTAAATCCTGAAATTAATCAAAAACAACTGCCCGTGCAGATCATGATTAAAATGCAGTGGTTGCCTCTAATTTCAAATGGCTAGATATTTTTGTTTAAAGCCAGTTTGTTTGTTATAAAGCAAATAGCCAATAAATATATTTGCTTAAAAATCAGTATCAGTATCAGAATCCAGTTTGCTAGTTAAAAAAAAAAAAAAGAAAGAAAGAAAAGAAAATCTGAATTCTGAATCAGCTATGATCGGCGTATCACTAATTAAAATACTAAGTAAAAGGCCTCAAATTTGAAGTACAATCTGGGATGTCTTTTTCTATCAATTCTTCAACAGGTAGATCTTGTCTTTCACAAAGGCCGAGGTCAGGGATCTTGGGCCTAAATCAGAAATTATCGTGATATATTTTAAAGCCCATATCGCCCATCCCTAGTCTCTTGTGCTTGAAGGATGTAGTGTTTCCACACATTTAGAATTGAATGGATACCTGGGCTGAGCGGGTACAGTTCATTGTCTCCTCCATAGGACAGGTTGCGAGTCAGCACATGTGGGTCGATCTTGGGAGGCGAGGTGGCTGTGGGACAGAGAGAGAACCGTCTGCGGAACAAGTTCTCCTCCTTCATTGTGCCGGCCAGTCTGTCCACCTGGAGGAAAAATTAGGAATGTTAATATAGTTTGTAGCAGCATAATGCACTGAAATACTGATGGATAATCACAGAAACACACACACACTCAGAGTAACATTAATGCAGCAGTGTTATGTAGTCCTTTTCCTTACTAATAATAAATAATAATCAAAGCAAAGTGGGTGTATGTAAGCGAATGTATGTGTCTGCACCAACTTGGATGAAAATGCTTCCAGAAAGCTTATGCAACATAAAAATCTATCATTATATAAAAAATAGAGCATTGCGTTAGCAACGCAAAAGGTCGTGGGTTCAATTCCCAGGGAAGACACATACTGGTAAAAAATGTATAGCCTGAATGCCCTGTAAGTCGCTTTGGATAAAAGCGTCTGCTAAATGCATAAATTATTATTATTATTAAGTTGAAGTCCGTAACTCTTATGTCTATGACTCCTATGAGCCTATTCTTGTAATGAATCATTCAAAAAGACTCATGAACTTCTGAATCAGTTTGAATCAGGCCTTTACTGAAAAAACTTCTGCTGATTAAATCAAAATCAAAATCTGATTGACTTACCCAACTGTAATTTTTATCCATCCATCCATCCAATGATCTACATCACTATCCATACATTTATCCAACAATCTAACCCACTATCCATCCATTAACGATCTAACCCACCATCCATCCATCCATCCAATGATCTAACCCACCATCCATCCATCCAATGATCTAACGACCTAACCCACTATCCATCCATCCATCTATTTGTCTATCTATCCATCCATCCATCCACCCATCCAATGATCTAATACACTATCCATCCATCCTTCCAATGATATAACCCATTATCCATCCTTCCATCCATCCAACAATATAGCCCAATATCCATCCATCGACCCATATCCCTATATATATATATATATATATATATGATTTGTTTATTGTATATTTAAATATTTTAACCCTAAAAACTACATAATTTACCTGCAGTTATTCACTAAATTTGCCAGATGCATTCATTAGATATTCAGGGTTGAAATGTAGGGTAGCAAAATGAAAGATTTCAGGTTACATAAGACGACACTAATCAAAGGAGCAAATCTAAGCAACATGGGCTTTTAGTTGCAGAGCATCTGAATCAACTTCCCTGCATCATTCCTTCTCATGAAAAGGAGCTAAAAATAGTCTTTGTGCTGCAGCGTCAGTCTGAGTGGGGTGTGAGAGCCGCCGTCTATAAGTTGCACAGTTACAAACCCTGCTCTACCTCTCTGTCTCTACTTAGAGCTCTGCAGGGTAATGAACCTGCACTGCATGTGGCCAGGCAGTCGGCTCAACCAATCACAGCTCAAAGCCACAGCTAGAGGGCAGGGCGGGTGGATTCAATTGGCTATGCATCTGGCTGCTGTTCAGTTTACTCTGTTTACAAGGCTATGAGTGGCAGAGAGACGAAAACACATCCTGAATAGACTAAACAAAAATAACACCTGCAAGAAGAATGAAGAAAGAAGAAAGAAAAACCAAGAAAATTACAAAAGAGATCTCTTTTAATGCGAAATGTGCAATCTTTTCAATGTTAAAGAATTCATGTGACTTACTTTCTTCCATGGAACACAAAATTGGATTTTTTAAGAATATCCTGGCTTTTCCATAACATGGAAATGAATGAGGACTAGTGCTGTCACACTCCAAAAGACTTGGAGTGCACACTGTACCATGACTTCAGTATACAGTCATGGCCAAAAGTTTTGGCAGTGACATACATTTTGTGTTTTGCAAAGTTTGCTGCTTAAGCTGCTGTGGTGTTCATTCACATTGTTTCTAGATTAT